CAAGGTCTATAGAACATAAGGTTACCCAATACCGATTCTCCTCCTCTGAGAGGCAAGGTGGGTCAGTGACGTAGCTGGTTCTATGAACAACACAACACGATGCGAGGTTTAAATATTTTATATAGACTGTACCTGGACTGTACCCCAATATAGACTATCTTTTACTCTGACTGTATCGAACCAGTGACGTCAATCTGCGGGGTAATATTCGATACTACAGAGCCATAGGGAATTAGGTAACCTTATGTTCTACAGACCTTGGGTAATTCGCTATAATATGATGTCAGATTTGGCGGGTTAGGGTAGGCACACGGTCGATTATTTATCGACGAAACAGTTTAGTTGGATTGGATTGAAATCAAGATGCATTATCAATTTATAACCGACTAAACTGTTTAGTTGTTCATAAATCGTGTTGTATGCACACACATATCGATTTCGAAACAACTTGTATTTATATTGAATTGAATATAAATATAAAATTAAATTACGTCATCATTGCAAGAATGCAACCAATATCACAATATTGGTATTGCAATACGCGATTTGCGTATGATGCGTATTGCACTGTGATATTGGTTGCATACTTGCAATGATGACGTCGGGTACGATAATTAATTAACTGTATTTAGTATAGTATATAATTAACTGCGGTAGTAAAACGGAAAATAATTTAACTTAATTTTTGATATAAATTCACTTATCATAAAATAATTGAAATTAAATTTAAATTAATAAAAATCTCAACTCAACTATCGACTGTGTGTGCGCTTCAATATGAAGCTGTGGCATTATCAGAGTTGTATGATAGTTGCACAACTTTTTAATCATAAGTGCACATCGTCTCCTTTTGATTAAAAAATCGAGTTGATTTGTAATTGTGTTGTGTGTGCACCTACATTAAACTGAATACATTTATGTCCATCGACTAAATTATAGGCCGACAAAAATCGACCGTGTGTGCCTACCCTTACTGCCACTGTCACTTCTGGTTATTTTGTGAAATCAAATATGCAACCAATATTACACTGTGATGTTGGTTGCATACTTGTAATTAAAATAATATACTTTTATATAATGCTAATTTAAACATTTTAAATTTTATTATATCATATTTTTAGTGATAACGATATCTATAGTAATCACTTAAAGTTGGTGGCATAAATGTGTTGATTTTATGTACCCAAACCTTTCCTTTCTAGCAGAGTATGTTTACCCAACACTAAAGGTTTTATTAAAATGCTTCTGGTCCAACTCCACTACGGGCAGCCGGTTTTATATGGTCGATAGAAAAGTTTTAGGTAGTTCGAGGGTTAGTTTTTGGGGATTGGGGAAGTACGCCTCTAAATGGACTCCCTCTTCTCTTTCAATAGAAAATCAAGACAATTTTTTTGTTTTCGTTCTTTCTAAAACAATTAAAATGATTAGAAAAGTCCTTGTTGGCGGTTGTTGTTGTTTAATCGAGTCATCCCCTTCAGAGTTTGAAACCTTTTGGGGAATAACGCGAAACAATAAGCCGATAAAGCCGTTTTGTTTACCAGCGCTCTCTCCCCAGAGTTGAAGCTCCGCGGCCGTTTTCAATTCGATACGGCCGATGTACCAATTAACTTTTCGGCCCTATCCTCCCTCGTTTTTCATCCCCACACACCTATTTTCAGTTCGCGCCCTCGTTTCAACAGTTTTTTTTTGGTAGCCCCCGTTCTTTCAGGATGCAATTTTTGCATTGCCTCTTTTGTCGGTAGCCGTTCGACTCGAATCCGTCGAACCCGACCTTTTTTTGTGTTCTTTTTAATCTGTAAACGCCGGAGCATCGCTTTGTTTTCATATTTTCTATCTTTTGAACTCTTATTAACCCCTTTTTTCATTCCTTTTTGATTTATTCACTTTTTTTGTACAATTTTTAGAATTTTTACCTGATGAAATGGGTCTCATTGGGCATGTCATGATGTTCTCGCATCTTTGACCGTCGATGTTGAACTCTTCGTTTTCGATGTAAAGCTTAATGAACGGCAAGCGGGTGTTTAAATAATATCTACAGTGAAGGTTTCTTGGATAAACTCCTGGATACGCTGGAGATTGTACGTAACATGTTTGTAATCGACAATCTCGGAAGATTCTTTCACAATAAGATCTGAAAATAAACAACAAATTAATTAATTCAATTGTAACAATCATTGATTTGATTTAACTAGGCATTTACAATTAAGCAGGTGTTAATAAGCTTAAATGAAAATCCTTCATAATTAACAATGATAATGTTGGTCACATCTTGTGTACATATGTCGGAATAATCCGACGTGATAATATCTTAACTCTAACTAGTTTAATTTAAGAAAAATTAGCTTGGCTTGATGACACAACCTGATTTAGCATGATCATTCGACAGAAAAGATAGGATATGGAATAAACGTCTCAACTATAACCGACCTCAGATTACTTAATCAGCACACCAATTTAGTATATTGCCATAACTTAACATTTTATCTTTAAAAACTTTTGTTGTACACGATTTTTAATTTGACACTTCAGAAAATTTTCGAATACTGAGCGCCATCTATCAATAATTTATTAAGTCATTTAATAATAATATTAAATATTAATAAAAAAAAGGTGAAATAATGCAATCTATTCCAAGTTTTGTGTAAAACAAATATAAATTAAATAATTCAACAAATGTGTTTGTTTCAAATATTAAAAATATGTTCTTTTAATTTTTAGTTATAATTTACAGGAAACTGTAAATTTAATTTCTTTAACGTCACTAAAAAAAAGTTTATTTTTAGCTTTATTCTAAAACAATAAGAAATAGACGTATATTTTTGTAATCAGAAAAACCTGTATATTCGCCAGAAAGGCAACATTTTCAAACTTCTTGCGTTAACATTGAAACTTTGAGGACTATTAACGTAAAACTTGGTTACATTTCGTTTTATGACATCCAGACTTGAGTTATAAAAGAGAAAATTTAAATATTGTTGGATTATTATACTTTACAGTGAGGTAATTTGGAACAACTTGGTGTCGATCGAAAGTTGGGCAAGACGGCTTTTTCTTATATTTACATGACAACATGATATGTATAATTAGTTGCATAACACAACTTATTTGGGCAACAGTTCGAAAAGATGTTATTATTAATGTAACAAGCTGTCTTTCCTGTTATTGTCGTCGAGGAAGTGAACAAATATTTTATTGCATAACTCTCCATCACTTCCACCAGCTGCGTCTTTTATGAGCTTTATTCGTCGATGCTTACATTAAAATTTCCAGCCATGACAAATTTATTGCTAGGATTAACATTTTGAGAATAGATTTTTCACAACTCTAAAATAGAAAAATAAAATGTCAGGGACAAGAGCCGTTAGAAGGAGCAGAATTTAGCTTCTCGGATTCTTCAGCATTGTCTCAGCCACCTTTCAACATACGATTGGACCAGATACAAGCTGATACTTTGAACCCAACCTATCTCTATGAAGACTCTCTTCACAAATCGTGACCTGAGCCTGTAGCTCTGCTTGCATCAGCTGCGTTGTTAATTATTTTCTGTTCTTTTCTACGGATTCGAGAGCTGGACACTCAATCAATCACTAGAGAGTCGCATAGACGACCTTGAGATGACCAAATAACAAATGACGAGATACTTAAACAGATGAGCAAATGTATGAAGGTCCTGATAACCGTTAAAGAATGGAAAATAATAATACATCGCTTCAAGATCCTTCGACTCTTTATTGACGAAAAATTCGAAGGAAAAAGGTCAGTGGGACGACTACAAAACGTTGATAAAGTTGACAGAGTTGATATGGAGACTTGCTACAGGTATTATAAAGATATTGATGATGGAAATTTGAGTTAATAGAAGCTCAAAAGTCAAGTCTAATAAAAGTATAAAGCTGATGAGGTCTCGTCACTGTTAGAATGGAAACAAAATAGAAACTCTACGACTTAGAAGTCTTGAATATATAAGCAAATCGCGTATTGCAATACCAATACTGTGATATTGGTTGCATACTTGCAATGATGACATGGTATATAAAATAAATCGTTAAAATTTGGTACAACTTAACCTCAAACCTTCCTTTATAACCTCAAAAAGTTTCATTTCTTCAATTTCCACTGTTTTGGAGAAATCAATTTTTTTCTTTTAACCTCACTTTCAACAAACGTCAACTTAAATTGGCGATTTTATAAAATACATATAAAATGAATCGTTCACCTTGGAAACTTAAAATTTTTTGTAATCAGAAAAACCTGTATATTCGCCAGAAAGGCAACATTTTCAAACTTCTTGCGTTAACATTGAAACTTTGAGGACTATTAACGTAAAACTTGGTTACATTTCGTTTTATGACATCCAGACTTGAGTTATAAAAGAGAAAATTTAAATATTGTTGGATTATTATACTTTACAGTGAGGTAATTTGGAACAACTTGGTGTCGATCGAAAGTTGGGCAAGACGGCTTTTTCTTATATTTACATGACAACATGATATGTATAATTAGTTGCATAACACAACTTATTTGGGCAACAGTTCGAAAAGATGTTATTATTAATGTAACAAGCTGTCTTTCCTGTTATTCTCGTCGAGGAAGTGAACAAATATTTTATTGCATAACTCTCCATCACTTCCACCAGCTGCGTCTTTTATGAGCTTTATTCGTCGATGCTTACATTAAAATTTCCAGCCATGACAAATTTATTGCTAGGATTAACATTTTGAGAATAGATTTTTCACAACTCTAAAATAGAAAAATAAAATGTCAGGGACAAGAGCCGTTAGAAGGAGCAGAATTTAGCTTCTCGGATTCTTCAGCATTGTCCCAGCCACCTTTCAACATACGATTGGACCAGATACAAGCTGATACTTTGAACCCAACCTATCTCTATGAAGACTCTCTTCACAAATCGTGACTTGAGCCTGTAGCTCTGCTTGCATCAGCTGTGTTGTTAATTATTTTCTGTTCTTTTCTACGGATTCGAGAGCTGGACACTCAATCAATCACTAGAGAGTCGCATAGACGACCTTGAGATGACCAAATAACAAATGACGAGATACTTAAACAGATGAGCAAATGTATGAAGGTCCTGATAACCGTTAAAGAATGGAAAATAATAATACATCGCTTCAAGATCCTTCGACTCTTTATTGACGAAAAATTCGAAGGAAAAAGGTCAGTGGGACGACTACAAAACGTTGATAAAGTTGACAGAGTTGATATGGAGACTTGCTACAGGTATTATAAAGATATTGATGATGGAAATTTGAGTTAATAGAAGCTCAAAAGTCAAGTCTAATAAAAGTATAAAGCTGATGAGGTCTCGTCACTGTTAGAATGGAAACAAAATAGAAACTCTACGACTTAGAAGTCTTGAATATATAAGCAAATCGCGTATTGCAATACCAATACTGTGATATTGGTTGCATACTTGCAATGATGACATGGTATATAAAATAAATCGTTAAAATTTGGTACAACTTAACCTCAAACCTTCCTTTATAACCTCAAAAAGTTTCATTTCTTCAATTTCCACTGTTTTGGAGAAATCAATTTTTTTCTTTTAACCTCACTTTCAACAAACGTCAATTTAGATTGGCGATTTTATAAAATGCATATAAAATGAATCATTCACCCTGGAAACTTAAAATTTGGTACAAGCTAACCTCAAACCTTCCCTTATAACCTCAAAAAGTTTTATTTCTTCAATCCCAACGGTTTTGGAGAAAAAAAATTTTTTTTCTTTTAACCTCACTTTCAACAAACGTCAATTTAAATTGGCGATTTTGTAAAATGTATATAAAATGAATCGTTCACCTTGGGAACTTAAAATTTGGTACAACCTAACCTCAAACCTTCCTTTATAACCTCAAAATGTTTAAATTCTTCAATCCCAATTGTTTTAGAGAAATCAAGTTTTTTTGTAACCTCATTTTCGGCAAACGTCAACTTAAATTTGCGATTTTATAGAATACATATAAAATGAATCGTTCACCTTGGAAACTTAAAATTTGGTACAAGCTAACCTCAAACCTTCCTTTATAACCTCAAAAAGTTTTATTTCTTCAATCCCAACGGTTTTGGAGAAAAAAATTTTTTTCTTTTAACCTCACTTTCAACAAACGTCAATTTAAATTGTCGATTTTATAAAATGTATATAAAATGAATCATTCACCTTGGAAACTTAAAATTTGGTACAACCTAACCTCAAACCTTCCTTTATAACCTCAAAATGTTTCATTTCTTCAATCCCAATTGTTTTAGAGAAATCAAGTTTTTTTGTAACCTCATTTTCGGCAAACGTCAACTTAAATTGGCGATTTTATAAAATACATATAAAATGAATCGTTCACCTTGGAAACTTAAAATTTGGTACAAGCTAACCTCAAACCTTCCTTTATAACCTCAAAAAGTTTTATTTCTTCAATCCCAACGGTTTTGGAGAAAAAATTTTTTTTCTTTTAACCTCACTTTCAACAAACGTCGATTTAAATTGTCGATTTTATAAAATGTATATAAAATGAATCATTCACCTTGGAAACTTAAAATTTGGTACAACCTAACCTCAAACTTTCCTTTATAACCTCAAAAAGTTTCATTTCTTCAATCCCAACTGTTTTGGAGAAATCAATTATTTTCCTTTAACCTCACTTTCAACAAACGTCAATTTAAATTGTCGATTTTATAAAATATAATATATAAAATGAATCGTTCACCCTGGAAACTTAAAATTTGATACAAGCTAACCTCAAACCTTCCTTTATAACCTCAAAAAGTTTCATTTCTTCAATCTCAACTGTTTTGGAGAAATCAGTTATTTTCCTTTAACCTCAGTTTCAACAAACGTCAATTTAAATTGTCGATTTTATAAAATATAATATATAAAATGAATCGTTCACCCTGGAAACTTAAAATTTGGTACAACCTAACCTCAAACCTTCCTTTATAACCTCAAAAAGTTTCATTTCTTCAATCCCAACTGTTTTGGAGAAATAAATTTTTTTCTTGTAACCTCACTTTCAACAAACGTTGATTTAAATTGTCGATTTTATAAAATGTATAGAAAATGAATCATTCACCTTGGAAACTTAAAATTTGGTACAACCTAACCTCAAACCTTCCTTTATAACCTCAAAAAGTTTTATTTTTTCAATCCCAACGGTTTTGGAGAAAAAAATTTTTTTCTTTTAACCTCACTTTCAACAAACGTCGATTTAAATTGTCGATTTTATAAAATGTATATAAAATGAATCATTCACCTTGGAAACTTAAAATTTGGTACAACCTAACCTCAAACCTTCCTTTATAACCTCAAAATGTTTCATTTCTTCAATCCCAATTGTTTTAGAGAAATCAAGTTTTTTTGTAATCTCATTTTCGGCAAACGTCAACTTAAATTGGCGATTTTATAAAATACATATAAAATGAATCGTTCACCTTGGAAACTTAAAATTTGGTACAAGCTAACCTCAAACCTTCCTTTATAACCTCAAAAAGTTTTATTTCTTCAATCCCAACGGTTTTGGAGAAAAAAAATTTTTTCTTTTAGCCTTACTTTCAACAAACGGCGATTTAAATTGGCGATTTTATAAAATGTATATAAAATGAATCATTCACCTTGGAAACTTAAAATTTGGTACAACCTATCCTCAAACTTTCCTTTATAACCTCAAAATGTTTCATTTCTTCAATCCCAATTGTTTTAGAGAAATCAATTTTTTTTGTAACCTCATTTTCGGCAAACGTCAACTTAAATTGACGATATTATAAAATACATATAAAATGAATCGTTCACCTTGGAAACTTAAAATTTGGTACAACCTAACCTCAAACCTTCCTTTATAACCTCAAAAAGTTTCATTTCTTCAATCTCAACTGTTTTGGAGAAATCAATTATTTTCTTTTAACATTTCATTTTAAAGGATTTTGAATGGAGATTATGAATTGATATAAATAAAATTTTAAAAAAGTTACCCTTGTACAACTTCTCCCCTTCGATTTGGATACAATTCCGGATGTTGTCCATATCTTAAATAGACGACAAGTTGTTGTTCCGCTCTAGTATCGAAGCTGAAGTAGGTTTGGTCGGTGAAGTTTTCCGAATGGAACACAACCTTAACAAACGACGTCTCCGACATGAACGTTTGTGGTTGTTCGCTCTCTCCACAAAACATCCCTGGTTCTTTCCGATTTGAAACGTCCGTTTTCGCGTTTCCATCCACTATCTATAACAAAAAGAAAACAACAAATTAGTGTCACATTAAAAAAATGTTTTGGTATTCTTTTGATGGAGAATGGAAATCTTTCCTGGGGGTAAAATTTATTCGTCTCTTTCAAGAGGTGCACGCGAAATATGTTTACGTCCTCGGGGCGCGTGATTTATGGCAGATTTACGTTTTGATTTACGGCGCGTGGCGGTGTTAATAACGATATTACGGCCGGGGAATAAAATAAAACCGAAAAATGGGTCTCGCGGTTTGTTATTTATGGTGTGGGTTTCAAAACAGAAAAGAAAACTCCATTTAAATTTCTCCTATGAATATTTATAATTGTTACAAAATGTTAACATTTTAATATTTTTGAAAAATCATCGGAATCGGCAAATTATCTAATGATACTTCTAAATCATCGTCGGGTTTTATTGGGAAATAATCAGTTTCGGGGATACTTTGGGGGATTTCCGGGGGTCCAATTTCTAAGGGGATAATTTCGGTGATTATTATGTGTTGGGGTTTTTTTGGGAGGATTCTCTCCCAATTTTTTAAATCATCATCGGCTTGGAGAGGAATTGGGAGGGTTTCATCAATCGCTTCAATTTGAAAATTTGGGAGATTTTGGCTATAATCGACGTCTTCTAAACGCAACATTGGTTCGTGGTGCTCTTTTAAATAAAATTGATCCGAATCTAAAATTAAAAATAATCATTAAAAAATAAAAAAAAATTAATCAACTCACCTATAATAAATAAAGTTAATAACAAAACGATCTTCATTTCTTTACGATTTCAAATTCATACTCTTTATCGCCACCTTTTATAATCAAAGGCAAATGAATTTCGTTAATTTCGCCCGAAATTTCCTCCCCTAAATTGTGTGGCTTAAAAATTTGTTGCAAAGAAGTTTCTTTGTTTAAACCATAACAAAACGAAATAATTACGAAGAGCACGAAAATCTTTACTAAAACCATCGCTTCAATTCAACCAATTAATTAAACTAAATGAATAACGAAGTTTTTTACGCATTCTTAAAGAATTTAGCGATAATTGAAAAATGTTAAATTTTTTTAAACTTTTTTATCAAATAGCGATTTATTATGAATTTATGAATTAAATTTGATCGAGATTAAAAATAAAATTTACAACATTGAAAAACAAACGAAATTTTTTTATTAATACCCTAAAAATTTATGACACCCCCTCATAAATTAATAAAATGATCGCCTTTTTAATACTATCTACATAATTACACAGCAATTTTTAATCGGAACGATGAATGAGTAAGCCCTAAAGATAACTCATTAAATGAGTTAAATTAAGTTTGAAGTTCCAAAAAAAAATTTGTTCCAAAAAGGGGCTTAAGAGGTAGATTAACTGGCCGGGAAGGTTCATTTCGTAGGGTTAGAACGTTTGTTGACATAGGAAAAGCTTCGGATGGGGACTGGGGGGTTCCCGGGGGTAGTATTAACGCGAGATTTCGAAACGAATCGGGCGTCGCGACGTCGGTCGGCTTAAGTCCGAATTATTTCGTCGGATCGGCCGCTTAACGTTTACGATCCTACCTACGTGGAGATTAATGGCTCGAATACAACCAACTTTTCCAGAACCGTAAACTTTAACAATAAAGTCACACGTTGTTAACTTTTATTCGTGTTTTTGTATTATAGTAAAACCTCGATATAACGGATTAATATGGGAAAAGGAATGTCTGTTATAGATTTAGAAACTGAGGCAATAGTTCTAGGTTTTCAATAATAACATATTATATATAAACCGAGCAGTAATTCAATTTTTTCAATAATAACGTATTATTTATAAACCGAGACAGCTGTGCTGCCGAGGCAGTGACTCCAGCACTTAAAATAATGTAAAGTTTTCTTTAATACAACTGCATTATTTAGACGCCGAGGCAACAATCATGATATGATATGTATGTTAAATTGAAGCTTAAAGATTCTAGTTTATGATGTGATATAAAAACAATAAGATAGTATTATTGAAATTTCCAAGAAAAACTAACTAAAGAAGAAACTGTCAAATTTATAAATCAAAGAAAATACTAAATTTTCAAAAAATCATATCTACTGTGTTTTTAAGAATCATGATATGATATGTATGTTAAATTGAAGCTTAAAGATTCTAGTTTATGATGTGATATAAAAACAATAAGATAATATTATTGANTTTTTAATCGGAACGATGAATGAGTAAGCCCTAAAGATAACTCATTAAATGAGTTAAATTAAGTTTGAAGTTCCAAAAAAAAATTTGTTCCAAAAAGGGGCTTAAGAGGTAGATTAACTGGCCGGGAAGGTTCATTTCGTAGGGTTAGAACGTTTGTTGACATAGGAAAAGCTTCGGATGGGGACTGGGGGGTTCCCGGGGGTAGTATTAACGCGAGATTTCGAAACGAATCGGGCGTCGCGACGTCGGTCGGCTTAAGTCCGAATTATTTCGTCGGATCGGCCGCTTAACGTTTACGATCCTACCTACGTGGAGATTAATGGCTCGAATACAACCAACTTTTCCAGAACCGTAAACTTTAACAATAAAGTCACACGTTGTTAACTTTTATTCGTTTTTTTGTATTATAGTAAAACCTCGATATAACGGATTAATATGGGGAAAGGAATGTCTGTTATAGATTTAGAAAGTGAGGCAATAGTTCTAGGTTTTTAATAATAACATATTATATACAAACCGAGGCAGCTATGCTGCCGAGGCAGTAATTCAATTTTTTCAATAATAACATATTATTGCTGTCAAGTGCTGTCAAGGCAGTAGTTCAAGGTTTTTAATAATAATATATTATTTAGCAACCTAAACAGCCATGCTGTCGAGATAGTAGCTCCAGTACTTAAAATAATGTAAAGTTTTCTTTAATACAAATGCATTATTTAGACGCCGAGACAGCAATCATGATATGATATGTATGTTAAATTGAAGCTTAAAGATTCTAGTTGATGATGTGATATAAAAACAATAAGATAATATTATTGAAATTCCCAGGAAAAACTTATTAAAGAAGAAACTGTTAAATTTGTAAATCAAAGATTACTAAATTTTCAAAAAATCATATCTATTGTGTTTTTAAGAATTATGATATGATATGTATGTTAAATTGAAGCTTAAACATTCTAGTTTATAATGTGATATAAAAATAATAGGATAATATTATTGAAATTTCCAGGAAAAACTTATTAAAGAAGAAACTGTTAAATTTATAAATCAAAGAATACTAAATTTTCAAAAAATCATATCTATTGTGTTTTTAAGAATTATGATATGATATGTATGTTAAATTGAAGCTTAAACATTCTAGTTTATAATGTGATATAAAAATAATAGGATAATATTATTGAAATTTCCAGGAAAAACTTATTAAAGAAGAAACTGTTAAATTTATAAATCAAAGAATACTAAATTTTCAAAAAATCATATCTATTGTGTTTTTAAGAATTATGATATGATATGTATGTTAAATTGAAGCTTAAAGATTCTAGTTTATGATGTGATATAAAAATAATAAGATAATATTATTGAAATTTCCAAGAAAAACTAACTAAAGAAGAAACTGTCAAATTTATAAATCAAAGAAAATACTAAATTTTCAAAAAATCATATTTACTGTGATTTTAAGAGTTATGATATGATATGTATGTTAAATTGAAGCTTATTTATTACATTTTTATGTAAAATGAACCATTCTCGGGATAATCGCTTGTCTCACTTTAAATGGACCACCCTGTATTAAGAAACTTGTGAAGAATTCAAGAATCAAAATGTGGCTTAAAAATCGACGATTTATTCTAATCAATGCGAAATAACCCAAAAAACAAGTTAAAAATTACTAACACTTAACACAACTAAGATGGCGTATATGTCAAAATTGACGTTGACGTTTCAACCCGGAAGTGATTGTATTTCCATTAATATTAAAGTTAAATATGTCGAGTTTGGACTCATTTGAAAGGATTTTTTATGAAGTTGACAAATATGTCAAAATTAAAAGTTGAAAGTTCGAACTTTTTGGTTTTTTGAGATAATGCGTCAAGTAGTGGAAAAC